ATTCTTTTAGTTCAATTAGGTCCCTATAAGTTTCTATTTATTTACAAATCATAGCAAACACAATCAGAAGTCTATCAACAAATCAAAAAATGCAAAACATGTCAATAGAAATAAAATAAAAGAGATGATGCAATTTGAACTAAAATTAACCTAATTACTAATAAAAGGTTGCTTTATCTAATTAACTATAGTAATCAAACTAACATTTATCAGAAAACCACAAAGAAATCCTAGAAGCTTAGCTAATCATGTATATGAATCAAAACAGATTAGTTAACTCAAATAACGTGAAATCTAATTACAGAACACGGGAGAGGAACATCTAAACAAAGCAAAGGCAGAATAATCGATTCATCAAAACCCTAATTAGGCCTAAACCTATGCAAAATTAACTTTCAGATGAATTGTAAGATTCAGCATGCTTTATAAACAAGTTGACAATACCAATTAAATGGAACATTGTCACTATCTAAATCATATATAGTAAAAAGGAAGAAACAAGTGGAAGAAAAGAGGTAGTATAGAAAGAAGAAAAGAAAGAAAGAAAACAAAAAATGGAAAAAGAATTACCTAAAGCTGCTTTGGACCAGACCAGTTGATGAACTACTCTGAATGAAACATTCGTGAATTTATACAGCCATTAATTGGTTGTTCTTAACAAAAACAATCAATTAATGGACGTTTGGGTTCACAATTCCAAAAACTGACCAAGAAAAGAAGAAGAAAAACTAGGGTTTTTTTGCTGAATCTTAGATTCAAGATTCGACAGGATTGGGGGTGATTCGAGGGGAACCAAGGGGATATTTAGGAAGAGGAGGAGGAGGGGCTTGCATGGTGAAGTTTTGGGTTGATTTGGAGAGTTTAGGGTTTTTGGGATTGAAACTCGGATTTGAAATTCAAGATGTTTGGTGATGATTTGAAAGAAATGGGTTAGATATTTGGAAGGATGAGATGATGGGGGTTCTGGGGTGTTGATTTGGGGCCATTTGGAACACCGAAACCACTGTGAGGCGATTTCTGGTGGCGGTTGGCGGCGGAGACGGTGAGAGAGTGAAGGCGGCTAGGGTTTCTTTAGGCTTGGTTGAAGGAGATGAACTGAAGGGGTTCCGAAATGGGGGAAAGGGTTTTCGGACACTAATATTGTAAAAGGCTGGTTAGTTCTCAGCCGTTAGATTCAAAGTGATCAACGGCTTGGATCAAACAATGATGATGCGACGTCGTTTTGGGTGTAAAAGGGGTGGACCAGGTAAGGTTGAGTTGGGCCTGGGTTAGGGACAGGTTTTTGGCTTTAAATGGCCCAAATTCTGAATTTAAAAACCCCATTTTCAATTAAATCCTTATTTGCTTTTTCTTTTCTTTTTTCTTCTTCTCTTTTTTTTAACAAAAAATACTAAATTTAAAACCCTAAATTAATCTAAATTGCAAAATTAAACTAATTACCTAATTACAATAATTATAAAAATTAACTAATCCTACATCAAAGGAGAAAGATCACTAATCTAAACATTAAAAGGTAAAAAATGTAAAATGAGCTATTTTGTGATTTTTATTTTTAATACAATAATTAATTAGCTAATTAATCCTAAAAAGTATAAAAACAAAATCTAAATGCAATGCATGGTATTTTGGTATTTTCATAATTTTAATAAGAATTAAACGTGCACAAAAATGCAAACAATTAATAAAATCCTACGAAAATCCTACAAAATGGCAAATAATTAAAAAAATCTATTTTCTTGGATTTTATAGGAGTAATTCATATAGGGCAAAAATCAAATGCTCACACCAGCCTTGATAGCAAACTTGACCCCTCTGATTGGTGTATCGTCTAAGTTCGATAGTGTGCCATCACTTTATAACTCGCCATCATCTTCAACTATGTCCGCCCAACTTTTCTCGATGCCACCATGCTCTATTTGCATGTTGCTAAGATATGCTTTGGAATCCCCTACTTATGACTTAGATTCCAAGCGCATCCCCCCAATGTAGGCGGTCCCTCCTGTATCACCCTCGTGTGCCTAAGTAAAGTTCTCGATCATTGTTGCAAGCTTTCCCAACTCTAGGCATTTACTTGTCTAATGTGATCCTTTACAGAAGTAGCACCCTCCCTTAGGCACGTACTCGCTACCACTTTTCGGCCCATTATCGTTGCTCTTGGACCCCTATCTATTATGGGATGGCCCTTTGCCATTGCTCTTGTATACCTCGGCTATGCGTTTCCCATTGTTCTTGTGATGATCTCCCCCACACCTCTCGGTGTTGCCTTCTTTAGACTTGTCAGGCTCCATCTTGAAGTCAACGAACAACTCGGCTACCACTATGGCCTCGTTCATGTTAGTTACTTGATGTCTTCTTAACTCCTGATTTTCTCAATTTTGCAACCCATCCATGAAGTAGAAGAGGGATTCTTCCTCGGACAACGACGGGATTTGTAACATTAAGCTAGTGAACTCGCACACATACTCCCGAATTGTGGCTATCTATTGGATCTCCCTTAGCTTCCGCCTAGCCTCGTACACCGTATTCATCGGGCAGAATTTCTTCTTCAACTCCTTTTTGAGCTGCTCCCACATCTCAATCTTGCATAGCCCTTTTTTCCATGTTGACACACTTCCGACGCTACCCCAGCACGACAACCTCGGTTAAGTACATTGAGGCGTTGCATACCTTAACAACTTCACCATCCTCCTTGACTACCTCAAAGTACTTGTCCATCCTCCGAAGTAAGTCGTCCACCCCGTGTGCGTCTCGTGCACCACCATACTCTTTTTGTTTATGACCCTTCATATTTGTCCCTTTTTCAAGTACCGCGCCCTTGATAATCCCGACCATGGTTCCCTACAAAGCTTCCTTCCAGCAATTTCTTGTATTCTTTCTAACATTCCTTTAGTCATAATATTTGCTCTGATACCACGTTGTCTTGTCCTTAGTCTTTTACTAAGCACACGTGCGGCACTTGACAACTTACTCCCGATCTTGCACAACTTGCTCACGATCTTGCTATGCTAATTCAGCCTAAATTACTACACTCAAGATCGCTAAGGGAATGTTAGATAAGAAAGGTAAGAGAAACTTGCCAAAGGAAGCTTTTTATCATAGGGAACTTGATTATTTTGCTTGGTGAGTTACAAATGAATATCCTTTTTTATATACTAGTCTCCTAGGGCTAGTATGTAAATATTAATTGTTATACAAGTCTTTGATATTTACAAGTAAGACCCCTCTCTAGAATTCTCTACATAACTAGAATCTTCAAAGGACTCCTAGCAAATCCATAGGTTCTAAGTTCTTCCATGAGAAATCTCCATATTCTCTAGAACTTTCCCTCATGTGCTAGTCAATTTCATATGTAAGCTTTCCATATGGCAAAAATATATGTCAAATGCCACCTACATGGCATGATGATGGGGCAGGCCATGACATTAGGATATTTATCAAATTAGCTACCAAATTAGCTATAGAATGTCCTTGACAAAAATTCTACTAGTAATTAGCTAGGGAAACATTCTAGGCAAACATTGAAAAAGGCTAGAACCTTTTTAAGTTTAACTAAGGATATCCCTAGCTATGTTTTAATGAAATCAATATCGTAGCAAATATTAGCATGGAATAAGTCCCTAGCTACGTGTCAACAAAGTCAACATTGACCGAACAAAGTTTGCTTGGAATTTAGCTATCACATGTTCTAGCTAATGATTGCGAGGGATTAGTGCCAAGCAAATATCCCTAGCTATATTAGCAACGGATAACATATTTTTCTAGCTAATAAAATTTTGCTAAGAGCATATTAGCTACAAAATTTAGCTAAGGTCATTTTCCTAGCTAAAGCGATGTTAGCTAGGAGTCTCGGTAAGTTAGCTAGGATTTTGGTTTCTAGCTAATGGTTTGTTCTCTTGTAGTGATACCACATGAGTATATGCAGAATTAGATAAACTATAAGATCCCAAAAATTAAAATCACAAATCTCATATTTTTCTAGGCAATGCTTGCGACATATTCATCATAGTTTAAAATAGTAAAGAGAGTATTTAACAATCATAGAATAGCACAAATTATTATGTTTTCATAAAAAAGAAATTATAAAATTAAATTTGATCTCAATTCAAAATTCCTATCAAGACCCAAGTTTTTGATTTTAAAAGAAAAAAATTAAAAGATTTAAGAACTAGAGAAATGCTTATTTTATGGAATTTTTAAATTTTAGAGGCTCTTTTTTGAGTCCAAATGAAAGGGTTCACCTGAAACATAACTGAATTTTTTTTTTTCCTAATGTTGAGCCAGTGGTAGTTACGTAGTTCAATGATTTTTCCGAACTCGTCAATTATGCTTAATTAAGCGAAATGTCCTAATACTCAAGCCTGCAGTTCTAGTGATTGTAAACTTATTATGATGATATTAATTATTACATGAAACTAATTACAACCGCATGGCCTATAATTCGAGTGTTGTTCGAGAAAAGCTTAGAGGTTCTTGGCTTTGAGATTTGGAGAAGAAATGTAAATAAAATTAGAGAGAAGCTCTGGCTTTTCTCTCTTCTTGTTAGATTTTTACGCTTGTGCTTACATTACTGGGAAATTAAATCCTTAACTTACTAGTTAATTGAACTACATTAAATTAGAGAAGATAACGAATTGGCTTTTAAGCTTTGTATAATGTGTATTGTTAAGTACATGTGTCCTCTTGACAATTTCACTACCCAGGTAACATTACTTTGTAACAGTGTATGAATGCGAAATGATAATATTACTGCAAAAAATTATATTTCTTTTTATTTAAGACATTAATGGGCTGTTTTGGTTTACAAACTAATTATCCAAGGAAGAATACCATACAAGGATTGGCCATTTCATATATTCGGTAGGCATGCAAAGTCAACCTTTTCCAAAGAAAGCCAGGCGTACAATCACTAACATTACTTTTTAATAACCTTTCTTTTAAAAATAATCTAGAATATAATTACTTTAGTAGTAAAATTACTAAAAATCTTTTCAAAAAATGGATGATGCCAAATCAATTCTCTTCTTCGTCAGCTAGTGGAAACAACGGATCCAACTGATTTGCTTCTTAAGCACAAATTATTGTTGCATTTCTCATTTGTAGCAGAAAGGAAGAAACAGCTACATGGACTTTGTTCGAATACAACACCTTGAATGGCCAGGAAACTACTTTAGGAGAAGTTAACGGGTTAAATCCAGCTGAAGAAAATCAAATAGGTGCGAGTATTTGCTTCAATAACCAATTGAACTTCCTGCTAACTGAAAGTTACAGTTATGAACTCTCTTCTGCATTAGTATCTGAAATGAGGTCTTCAAGTTCATCAATAATGGCATCATAGCAAAAGAGGTATTGCTCCTGAAATATACAGTAGTAAGACATTCAGCGTATAAGTACTTAAAATCCAAAGAGCAAAGATTAATTAAGAATACTGAAACACAGTAGCATATATACTGAGGGTAAGGAATACCAAAAGCGTAAAAGAGAATAATAGCTGAAAAAATGCAAGATGTCCAGCTTGAGTAGAGCAAATTGTAAGACATTTCCTTTCCAATAATCTGAGCGGTTGAAAAGGCCAATGAAAGACTTTAAACATACAGATGCATATATCATGGATAGAAGATGAACAAACAAGAACAAAAGGACACTGGAAACTACTCAAGTTGTGTGCGTTCTAAATACTTTCTAAAATTGATTGTCAGACATTACACATCTAGTTTTTTTTGTTGTATTTTCAGGCGCTAACAGAGAAAAATACACCAAAGATAAAAATATTTTGGGGACCTGCTCTATGGGGGTAAACTGCACTGGTAACAAAAATAGCTTATCTTTTACAAAATGTTTCATCAATACTGTTTAATTAATGTGGTTGCACTAAGTGATAAAACAAAAAATTGGCTAAATTTCTCAGGGAAACAAACATAGCACCTGCTACTTTAACTAACTACATAGAAATTATTGCATCTGCAGTCATCCGCTTATGTAATATTGGCTGTATTATCAATAAAAATAAGGTACATACAGCCATTAAAGAATTTCAATTATTAGGATAAGATGTTGTACCATGGTCTGCACCATCCCAATTCGCTGAGACCTAAAAACAGTTATCGTATTAACAAGATCTAGAGCAGACATATCTCCAACCATTATTCTTTGGATGGTGTTATGGATAGCACAGTACGTACCAGTCCTACCAATACCTGCACTGAGCAAGAGAATGAGATGTCAGGCTTTAGAAAGGATCAATTACAGAATCTTTATAGGCACATTACAGGGAGGGTGATGACAGATACCTGCAGTGGACTACAATTGGTCCAAGACTGGGTGGGACACTAGATGTTTGTTTCAGTATTTCACGAACAGCAAGAGTGTCCTTTGGAACTCCATGGTCGGGCCAGTCGGGATATTGAATGTGTAAAACACACAAAGGTGGTTCTTTTGACTGGCACATAGCAAGGAGAAAAGATCACGCATTTCTTGTCATCTCTCTCATAATATGTGCAAGAATTTGTTTTCCTTGAGTACAACACGGACAGAGAATAATTTACTAACCTCAATATGATTCACCTCCAGACATCGCAAAATCAATGAAGTCTGACTCGTCTTTATCCACTTCGTGACAATACATATATTGCCAAATCTTCTAGGACCACCATCTGCCTGAAAATAATCCCCACACTTCACCGTCTGCATTGCATTTTTCATACAGAGGAAAGGATGAGATCAGGAAAAAGATGCAATCCAATAAAGACCAGCTTAATCACCTTATAAATAAAGTAAAAACCTACTAGAATAAAAGGCTTAAATTTATTCAGAGGTTAACAGGTTTTATAAAGCGATTGAATCAAAAGGACAAGTAGTGTCTCTATTTGTGTGATAAATATAATCCAGAATACAGATCATGAAACAAGAAGGTTTCTATCTTTCCTTTTCATTTGGCACAGGAAATTGTTTCTCAGCTACTCAGGTTAGGAAGAGGGAAGGGAAAGAAGAACTTATTAAGTCTAAATTCCAATTCTAGAAAGGCAGCCAAGCCTTTGCATGTTAGACTTTGCTAATCCTTCTGCAGTTCAAATAACCTGAGAACACACTCATGGAATTCTATGCCACCTGCACAAACCCCAGGAAAACCATAATTCCACTGACATTCCTCTGAAAGTCCAAAAAACTTCTTGGATTCAGGCGACAAGCCTCTTAAATTGAGATTGGCTCTTCCTAAACAAAAATGAGCACAACCAACAAAATCCAAGTATAACAATTTTGAAACTGGAGAAAGAAGAAGAATAAATAAATAAACAAACAAACAAACAATCTCCCAAGCTTATTAGGAGGGATATCTCGAGCTTTTTCCAGTGAACGAATAGGAACTGCATTTGGAACCTTTCACAACAGAACCTGATTCTATAGCAAAAGTTATTCATCTCCAAGCTCGATATTCCTCACTAAGTCACAAGCTAGTGACCACATAATATCCTTAATATCATACTCAAAGCCTACTTAAAACCAACTCCATCGAAAGATGCCCAAACTCTCAAATAGTTAAGACGAGAAAATATGCTCCTGAGAAAGATTGACAGTGATGACTATTTTCAAAGTCCAATAGACCTTAAACCCACCACCTCTGGCTTAAGTTGGGGCCCAAAAGGATGATGTGAAAGAATGCAGGTAGAGAAACTAATCTGTATTATCAACCAGTTTGTTCCTTTCTGTATACGTTATTATACACAAAGCGGAGTGAAACATAGGTAGCCAAACAAGAAGAAAGGCTAAGAGTTTTTCTCTACTGTTTCTTTCCCCTCACCCTATCTCACCACTCAAAAGATAGAAGAGTACACAGAAAGACGACAAAATATCTCAAGCAAATATGCAAAAACTGTATCAAAGATACTTCCACCTTTCTGACAGTATAAAAAATGCTAGATCTAATTACAACGGATGATGCAGATCAAAAGATGAAAACGGCAGAGAAGTTGGTATTTTACCTACTATGAAGCAAATTTTAGATCAGAACCATTGTCACATAATCTCAAATTTTCCTTCTGTCACACAACAAGGACATCTTGTCTTGTTAATATTACAATGATTACCGGTAACTTGTACAGTTTAGTACCTTGTAATTATCAACCAATTGGGTAAGCATCACAATCACAGGACAGCGATGCTGGATTATCATTTCCCAGAAGTCTTCAAAAGTGAGCGGTAGCGGCCCTTGTGTTGCAATAAACTGAGACAAGTTTTCAGATATCTACAACAAAAAGGAGCATTATAATAATCATGAAGCAGACTGGTGGAAGAGAGCTTGACATTTTCCAAGAGAGCGTGGAGAAAAAGAAGGCATAGTTAACTAATTCCAAATGAAGGATGTAGAAGTCTACCTTAATGAAGCTTGCATTTATATATCCACTAGCTGATGGCCTATAGTCTTTACATGGGTCCAAAACAACCCTGTTATTGTCAACTGAGAAGAATGAAGCTTGATATAATTATTCACAAGTTAAAATGCACAACTCCAAAGTCATGAGAAAGATTAACAAACTGAACTGCATACATGGCAAAACATCAGTGTATCGATTTTTACTAATGTTTACGCTATCCAAAGCCACTGAGCATCTAGTCTTCATTTCTGAAGCTCTCATCCTAGTTGCCTGAGTCATCAGAGATGTTCATGAAATTAATGCTACTTGCAGAGTGACATGATCACAAGCTAATAGTAACAAAGAAGCAAAAACAATAATTTTCTCAAGATATAAGAGAGATGTCCTTTGACATAAATTAGCTCAACAAATCTTAACTTTTAATAATTTTAAAACAACAACAATACCTACGCCTCAGTCCCAAATAAGTTGACGTCGATGATATGAATCCTCACTTATTTCATTAATAATGATATTAGTTCATTTATCTGTCTACATCCTTTTAACTGGAGCCACTACTAGAAACATCATAAAATGGATTCTTGGATTTTTTTGTGGATAATTAGATATAAATGAGAGCTGGAAACACTACATAAATGAACCCAATCACCAAAGGAGATTCTCAATATTTACCTAAAACTATTGGAAGGTCTTTTTGTTTTCTTCAAATAGACATTTAAGACCACCTAACTCCCATATAATTCCATCTCTTCTCGTAGGAGTTGTTTTTCTTCTTCCACAATTTACTATTCTTTCAATCCCTCTAGAATTCTTTACCATGTTAGATAGAGTAGCTCCAACTCATTTCTAGACTGAAGATGCAAAGGAGGAGGGGGATAGAGCACGGTATGCACCTATCACTATAAAGGCCATTGTTAATGCAATAAGAACAGTAAGGAAGGTAAAGTCCTATCAATGAGGTGTATATGTAATATGTTGCAGTCCACAGACAACATCTTCTAGAGCTAAATAATCAAGTAGAACCCAGAAGCCATCACTTAGGAACCAAGCCAAAGTAAAAAAAATACGATTCTTGTCATTAAATTCCAGTAATTGCTTCCAATAAAAGGAATGTTTATTCTCACCATAAGAAAAATACATCCCTTTTCCAAAAATATGACCGGAAATATCCAACTAAACCTCAAATAATCTCCCAAAACTTCAATCAATCGATCAGTAAACTACTTTTCGTCTAGTTCTCGATCACAGACTAGCTGTGGTCGGCTCAGTATCAATTGATTTGAGCTCGGTTCACATGTCACAACGACTTTATGTCTAGAGCATTCATGATAATATCACCTACTATAAAATAACAATAAAATTGAGAAAAATGTAGCATAATTTAGAAACAGAGAAAAAAAAAAGGACCTGCAAAATCATGAACTCTTGGCGGATTTTTTCGGGAGCAGAAAACCGCTTGTCCTTAAAGACTTTGAGTGCTTCCAAGCAATAACGCTGCTGATCAGGCGATAGAACCACTCTCTTCGGAACCGAATCGTCGCAGAAATCAAAAGGCTTAGAGGCCGACGGCGACAGGGGTTTACCGGCGGTATCCATCACCGATCTCCGGCTTCGATTCTGAATGAAAAGTACGCTACCTTTGGCTCCGGATTCGCCTTTTATTTATTTATTTTGCTTTGTCTTCTTCTATTTGGGAGTTGAGCAGAGTTCTGCTTTCGACAGAATCAAATATGTACTCAAAAGTCTCAAATTGAAATCCCATTTTCAGATTTTTGGTTAATATTTTGAATTACTATTTGCGTTCCCATGTTAGTTAAATTTTGGATATCCAACATTAAAATTAAACTTTATATTTAACACAGGCTTGCCTAGTGGGATGTAGGGTATGATTTACGGGCTATTAGACAGTGTGAGGTTTACTCATTGCGCACAGAATGCTTACTCGAAGAACAGAGGTTGTGTGGTTTGTAGGTTATTACAAAGGTTGTGTGGCACAGTTGATTACCCAGTGCGCACAGAATGCTCGCCCGAAGGACAAAGGCTGTGTGGTTTGTAGGTTATTACAAAGGTATGATTTACGGGCTATTTGACGGAATATTAATCTTATAAAATTATGATCTAATATATCATATTATTTTAATAAATATTAATTACTATTTTATTATTTAATATAGCATACATAAATATAATAAAATCTATTCAAAATCAAAGGATATAAAGTATTATAGTGATCAAATAATTTGTTTATTCCTTGTTTATTCTTTATTAAATTAGCAAGTACTTAGTAATATACATTTACTAATATGATTGCTTTATTAACTTGTTAATTGGCTTAATATTTTGATACTACTTCTCTTCTAGTAGAACATACGTATATATTTTCTTATTCTGAAAATATATATTTTTATACTTATGTTGTACTGTTTAAATTCTAAATTTATCAATAATTTTTTTGAGTGTTATTTATATTTTTTTTTGTTTATTAATTAATTCAAAATATAAATATTATTAATTATCTTTATTCACCTCTTTTCGTACACTCATTTCTACTATAATATTTGATTAGTTTTCTCATTTTATATTTACTGAAAATTTAAATAATATAATTTGTTTACTAAATTATAATTTTGAATTCATCAAAAGTATAAAGAGATAAGCCTTTTATTATTTTTATAAAAGCGTACTAATATTTTTAGTAATTAATAAAATGTGCTTTATATATAATATTATCTTATGTATAATATCCTAATAGTTTCTTTATATTTTTATACTTTTCATTATGAAGTTATGTGTTCTATTTACTAATTAAATTTTCCTATATGAGCAATTTAATTAGTATAAGTATTTTTACAATATCATTTGATTTTTTTTAGTATTCTTCATTTATGAATATTTTATTATTATGATTTTAATTATGTGTATATGTATGACTTTTCTCATAATAATTCTAACTATTTATATATATTTGTTTTTTGGTTATCTAATTGTATTATCCATTACTTAATATTGTTAAATTGACGTATGAATTATCAATAAATATTTTTTAGTATTCTTCATTTATGAATATTTTATTATTATGATTTTAATTATGTGTATATGTATGACTTTTCTCATAATAATTCTAACTATTTATATATATTTGTTTTTTGGTTATCTAATTGTATTATCCATTTATTGTTAAATTGACGTATGAATTATTAATAAATTACCAGTTTAGTATAATAATATATATATATATATAGTAAAATAAATAAATGTATATATATATATATACACACACTACTACTACTACTATAGTAGAAAAAAATTACTTTCCAATTTGAATTGGTAGTTTTTGATTTTTTGTTATTTTTGTTTTTTTATTGCAAAATAATTTTAAAACTCCAATTTGAATAAGTAAAATATTTTTTTTGTATTTTAGTTCTTTATTGAGAATTATAAGATATCTATATTTATTAATTCAAGTAGCGTAACCAATTATTCAAAATTTAAAATTCAAATTTAGAGAAGTAGTTTATTTTGTCTTAACAATGCCATTTGGCTTTTTGTGGTTAAGACATTTGTCTTAATGTAGTGCTTTTTCTTCTCCTATTCTGTATAGATAGAAGATTGTAAAATAATTTTAGAACTCCAATTTGATTAAGTAGAACATTTTTTTGTGTTTTCGTTTTTTATTGATAAGTATAAGCTATCTTTATTTATTAATTAAAGCAGTGTAACCAATTAATTCAAAATTTAAAATTCAAAAAAAAAATTAGTTAGAATACTAGTTTATTTTGTCTTAACAATACCACTTGGTTTTTTGTGGTTAAGACACTTGTCTTAATGTAGTGCTTTTGCTTCTCATGTTCTATATAGAAGAAGATTGTAAAATAATTTTAAAACTCCAATTTGATTGAGTAGAATATTTTTTTGTATTTTTGTTTTTTATTGATAAGTATAAGCTATCTTTATTTATTAATTCAAGTAGGGTAACCAATTAATTCAAAATTTAAAATTCAAAAAAATATTAGTTAGAATACTAGTTTATTTTGTATTAACAATACCACTTGGCTTTTTGTGGTTAAGACACTTGTCTTAATGTAGTGCTTTTGCTTCTCCTATTCTATATAGATAGAAAATTGTAAAATAATTTTAAAACTCCAATTTGATTGAGTAGAATATTTTTTTGTGTTTTCGTTTTTTATTGATAAATATAAGCTATCTTTATTTATTAATTCAAGTAGTGTAACCAATTAATTTAAAATTTAAAATTCAAAAAATAATAGTTAGAATACTAGTTTATTTTGTCTTAACAATACCACTTGGCTTTTTGTGGTTAAGACACTTGTCTTAATATAGTGCTTTTGCTTCTCCTATTCTAAATAGATACAAGATTGTAAAATAATTTTAAAACTCCAATTTGATTGAGTAGAATGTTTTTTTGTGTTTTCGTTTTTTATTGATAAGTATAAGCTATCTTTATTTATTAATTCAAGTAGTGTAACCAATTAATTTAAAATTTAAAATTCAAAAAAAATTGTTAGAATACTAGTTTATTTTGTCTTAATAATACCATTTGGCTTTTTGTGGTTAAGACACTTGTCTTAATGTAGTGCTTTTGCTTCTCCTATTCTATATAGATAGAAGATAGATGGGTTATGCTATATTTGTTCCAACATGGTCTATTAACGGGTCATTTGGCCATACAAAATTTTTCATTTTTTTCGAAAAAAAAAGACAACACTTTTTTTTCGAAATCACCGTTTGGCCATTAAATCTTTAACTTTCACAATTTCGAAAATTTGAAAAACTTCAAAAGGCTATTTTTCACTTTAAATCACTCACAAAAATTCAAAAACAACCCAAATTATATTTACGTCCAAACACTATTCTAACTTTCAAATATCATTTTCACTTGAATTTTTTTTTTTTACTTTTTCCAAATGCCCACTAATTTTTCGTCATCCGACTGCTTCCTTTTATACTTTACCAGTTGTTGTTTGTGCCATAAGATGAGTTCCGCTCAAAGATAAAGAAATTCGAATTAAATCTGCTTGAAAGACTTGCATTTTGAAGCGATAAAAGAATAGGATAATGCATAAAATCCTCCCTAAACTATATCCGAAGTTGCTACGACACAAACATTTGGCAAGCGGTGAAATACATGTGCTGCCACATATAATTTGTTTATTTTATTTTATTTTTTAAAATTAATTTCATTTTCTTCTTTTTTCTTCTCTTTTTAATTCAAAATGTAATGGAAATATTATTTTGTATTTAGAAAATGAAAAGGACAATTATTTTTGTATGAATTTGAAAAATTATTAGAGGTGTTGAGTATATTCGAACGTCGTTGAAGTTTTAAAGTTGAAATTCAAGTGCTTTTTTAAAGTTTTCTTGAAGGAGTAGTCCTTACGCAGTGCTCCACGTCAGTAATAAAGGTGCAAAGAATTACGGAAATTTTTTTTTTTTGGAGGGGGGTAATAGGACTCACGCAAAGGTAAGGTGTGATTTTATGCATTATCCCATAAAAGAACTTCAAGTTTTACAAAATCAGTTGTGTTTGTTAACCCTTAAGCTAAAGAATTAATCTTCTAATTCTAACTCAAACTAAAATTATGTTTGTGTACCATGTGTTAATGACTCCTTAGTCCTTATACCCATTTTCCGCAATTTTAGGGTGGGCCTAGCCAACATAGTTTCAGTCCTTTGTTGTGAGATTCTAACAATTCTTTTCGGATCCAATGGTTCTTCATATATACTATAGTACGAGTTAAGATAGATATTATTATCGCATGCATGTCTTAAACAGTAGATCAAAAAGCTTTCCTGATCTCCTTTTTCTGGTTCCCTTTTGAGTTGTAGCATGAAATAATATATGTGCAATTTGGTTCTGCTAATGTAACAATTATAATTTTATGCCAAAGTAATAAGTAATAAGTATGGACTAGTTTGATTTCTTAGGACACCTTAATTAAATTATATACGCACCAGACAACAAGTTCTTTTCTAGACAGCTAGAATGCTGCATGTGCGAGCTGTGGCAGAGCTAAGTGCGTTTAAGGAGTTAATTAATTGAATCTCCTTCGTCGAAAAATTACATTGTATAAATAGAGAGAAAATAATTTTTTATAAATTGTTGAACCTTCTTTGATAGTTTAAGTGTAAGCTTGTATTTTTTTGAATCCTCTTGCAAAAATTTTCGGCTCCCTCACTACGTGTGAGACAACAACAATAACAAACTCAGTGCAATCCCATAAACGGGGTTTGGGAAAAAAATTACCTGAATCCGTCCATGCACCAATTATGTTATTTAGCATGATGGATTAATAAACGAGGTAAAAATATATACTATCACTTACCATGGTTAACTGATGTTATGTATTTAATTGGACAAAATATAAAATTGGCTGGCCGGTCGGTGGATCGACCGAATAATGACATTCGCTAGCCACAAAGTGTATAAAATATATATACATACAATACACAAATATACAAAAATATATATTTTATCCGCTATTATTTTTGGAAGCGACTAAAAGTACATATTTCTCCATTTAATTTGGTGCCTAAATTAGGTTTGGATAAGTAGTACTTACTTTTCATGTGAGAAGAACTTGTAGATTGCGTGGAAACTGCAGGTTGGACTATTATTCTACATGATAGGGTCAAAGAATACTATTCAAGCGTAGAACTTGTCCAACACGCATGACCAATGCCCTGTATATACACCAAAAAACCATGCAAATCCAATAAACAACATATTCAACAATAGCAATATCTGCACAAGAGAAGAGAGGAAAATGAGTGATCAAACAACAACCATTCTGAATCTACCACTCTCAATCTTGGAAAATATTCTCTCAAACCTATCACCAAAAACAGTTTTCATTTGCAGGAGTGTTTGCAAGTCTTGGTTAAACCTAATTTCACTCCCTGAATTTTCCAAACTTCATCTCTCAAAATCCCCTGATAATCTCTTTATCTACTTTTCTCAGAGTTCCTGGAGTGAACTTCCCTCAACAAGTGTTTTCAAGTTTATAAATTTTGATGATACACCTCATTATCATAATCTCATTTATGAACCAAATCTTGACCTCGACATGAAACCCAACTTTCCAGATGCTGGTTTCTCTTTAGTTGGCTCAATCCATGGTTTTGTTTGCCTATTTCATATGCACTGTGACAGTGGTCTTGACGATGTTTATATTTTCAATCCAACTACTCGAGAGTATATCACTCTTCCTGAGGTTAAAGGTCTCAGAAAGTACCCAAATTTAGTCACTTATGGCTTTGGGTTAGATCCAGTGAGAATGGAATACAAAGTGGTAAGAATTTATCAAGTAGAAACTCGTGATCCTGAAAAAAGATCATATTACACGTCGGAAGTTCAAGTGTACACTCTTGGGACAGGATCTTGGAGAAGTATAGGCAATGTCAAGCTATGTTTTGGATGTCGTTATTTTGGGGTATATTTGAATGGAAAGCTTCATTGGTTGGTTGGAGATGTTGATGGAAATGAGTCAATATGTTTCATTGATATGCAGGATGAGTCATCTCACACCTTTTCCACTGCTCCTGGATTTAGCAAAGAAAACTGCCCTAATCTTCTAAATCTTGGAGTATTGGGAAATCATCTTTGCATATGTGACAATAACGCAGAAAGTCATCTTGATGTATGGGTGATGAAGGAATATGGAGTGACAAGTTCTTGGAGCAAAGAAATTGTCATAAACATAACCCCAGAATGGAATTGGATTTGCTACCAAATGACAAGTCTTGAAAGTTTTCCAAGATGGAGAGATCTTGTTTCAGTGGTGGGAAGATGTCTTGTTTACATATCATCCTGAGAAGAAAACTTTGACCAAAATAGAGTATTTTAGAGGTAACTTCTGTAATTTCTGGGCCTCTACTCACATCTCAAACTTACTTTCACTCAAGAATTTTGGCACGGAAGTTGTCCACACTTTGTAAAGCAACTTTGGTAGAACAATTGG